GAAAAAAATGAAATGATGATATATGGATTTGATGATTAGTTAAATTAATAGGTTATACAAAATATGTATGTTAAGATGTAATTTTAGAGTAAGAGGTTCTTATAACATTTATCTCTATCTGCTGTATAAGAAGTCCAAAGTTATTCTTTTTGTAATTTTTTCTTTCTTTTTTCTTTACTTTCTATCACTTTTGTATTCTTTCTCTATCTCTATCTCTCTTGTCTCTACTTTTCTCCTTGATTATTAGTTCTTGTTTGCTTTTACTTTTATGCTTTTTATAACTTAATAAAGTTCTTATTAAAAAATTAACTACCGGTAAGTTGCAAGAAGAAGAAACGAACTGTGAACAAGAAAAAAATTGCATTGTGGGAGGGCAAATGATTTCCTATTATGAATGAATGAATGAATGAATGAATGAATGAATGAATGAATGAATGAATGAATGGGTTAGATGAGTCCTTCTCAGAGAAGGAAAAGTGTCTGCTGAGAACATAGATCTAATAACATAGATCACCAAATCCCGGGGGTGGGGTGGGGTGGGGTGTCAAATGCAGAGCATACCCCATGCTGGCTGGGGAATTCTGGGAGTTGAAGTCCACACATCTTAAAGCTGCTGAGGTTGAGCAGCACTGCAATAGACAGCTGGAGGGTTATTTTAAAGTAACCTCACCTATTATTGATATCGGCTTCCTGACAAAACGTATTCTTCCTTTAATACCAACATATTTGCTTCTGCAACCTGCAGACCAGAGCCTCACCACATATTCAGCACCAAAAAACACCACCAAGACAATTTCCTAAAATCAGAAACAATCATGCTTATTTCGTTTTACATTTTTTTCTCTTAAAATATGCATTTACATCAACCATTCAGAAAGCATTTTGTATTAAAAAGTGGTACAATGCCAGGAGCAGCCCCTTTCCTCCTTGCCAGTCCACCCCAAGCCCCCACTTCCCCCCTGTTCTTGCCACACTGGGGGGCACACGTCCCTCCCAACAATTCCTACGCCATCCTGACATCTCAGAAGGCCTGGGTGGAGTTTCTCACCGAGGAGAATGACATCGAGGAATGTAATAATAAAACAGGAACATTTAGCACACGGAGATGCTTGATGCTCAACACTGAACAGCACCCAACTTTCCACACCTTCAAAACTGAGGAGGAGGAGGAGGAAGGTAATGTTGTAAATAAACAGGATTCTGCGAACAGCAAATAAGCAGCATGATTCATTGACATTAGCTTGATGTCGTTTAAATTAAGGGCATTGTCATTGAAATCAACGGGATCTTAAAGAATTCCCGGTGCAGAAACTCACTGTGGGAGAGGAGCAGCAATACAGTAAACTGTCAGCGGAAAAGTAGTTTTGAGGGATGAGAAAATCATTTTCTGCTCATCGAGTTGACTGTGCGTGAAGAGGGGATACAGAAGAAAAGGGTATCTTGCCACCTTGTGCCGACCGAGAAGTCCCCCTCTCTGCAAGCAGAAAGGCCACACCTATGCCTCCGCAGAGATCTAAAATTCGTGTGAGCTGTAATTTCAGAACTATTTTGTGGGATGGAAAATTCTGCACAACTGTGTGCCGGTATTCATATTCGTAATTACAGTAACGATGTAAAGATGGAAGAGGCATCTTGATGTTTTAGCCTGGGCCTCGTCCGTCCCAGCTGGGTTCTAGGGCAGGGAGTGAAAAAGGGTTTGCCTCCTGGCTTAAAGGGGTCACACTTTAGGACGAAGAGCTATATTCCGGCAGGTTTATTTATTTACTAGTTTTTTATATTGCCCAATAACAAAAACGTTCTTCAGGTATGATGATATCAATAATCACTGTAATGCTGTCTTTCCTCCAACAGTGCAGAACTGGAGTGGGCGGCTATTCTAAATCTAAATCTAAATCTAAATCTAAATCTAAATCTAAATCTAAATCTAAATCTAAATCTAAATCTAAATCTAAATCTAAATCTAAATCTAAATCTAAATCATAATAGTATGGCTATTTTTCCAGACAAGAGACAGATGGGCCTGAGAGAGGACACCTAGTTTGAGTTCACCCTCCATGGCTGAGGATGGACTTGAAAGTGGATCTCCTAAGTCCTAGTCAACGCTGTATCATATAGGCTAACCGAAAAGAGTTAAAACATATTATAAAAAATCAAAACTAAATTGAAACAATATCAGCATCAATCCCTTCGGGTCCACGGGAAGGAGCAGAGGGATCGTAACCATTTCCTGATATCCTCGTGCATATGACATGAATTACATAATGTGGGTCAAGTCACGTCCACAGTGATCAGGAACTTCATCTTCCATACCACATGTGTCTCAGTTACTGCTAGGACTCATGGACTAAAAACATCGGAAGCAGAAACTGGCCTCTTTAACAAAATGGGCTGAACGGTCACTGTATCTTGGCTTCTGAAAGTAGCATTTTCTCCAGCATCTGAGCATGTCAAAATAACAGCTGATATAATACACGAATCTGGTCTTTTCACTTCTTCAACAAGATCGTAACTTGTCTGCACTGCATGTAATTCCTCTAAGATTTCAAGTTATCACTTGATCATCCATTTCAAGATCACTTACCATCCAAAAAAGTGTTCCAGTGGCAAATTCTGCATAATGTTCTATAGTAGACAGAACACTGAAAATTAAACAAACCAGCACCAATAGAAATCTATAGGGAAAAAAAAGAAAAGCGATGACTGAAAAGCTGAAATTCACTTCAGAAACATAGCTAGTTAAAGTTTTCTACTCCTTTAAACAATTAACGTATTTCAAGCAATAGGTGAAGACTGAGTCATTTATCTAATCCTTAATAACCAAGAGACCTCCCTTTTCCATATCTCTTGCACCGATGAAGTTACCTAGTATGGTAATGAAATGTTTGCAACCCCAAAACCTAGCTCAGAGGACTCTCACAATGCAACTTCCCCACCCTGAACTAGGCCTGCTCTCTAGTGCAGTGTTCCTCAACCTTGGCAACACGTCTTCAAGTTGCCAAGGTTGAGAAACACTGCTATAGAGACATCTTTCCATTTCCAGCTGCAAAAGTTCGCTTTATAGCCTGCATGATACTTAGGCAATCACTTGATTATTTTTAATTATGGTCTCCTCTATATTGCGGGCTAACCAATATAACAGCCCCGCATCTCAAACCAGCGTGTTTTTCTTTCTCCTCTCCATTTAAAATATCCTCTTGATAATTACATGCCAAGTTGAGAATAATGGTTGCCCAAATTCTCAATACTGCCAAGATGTAAAGAGAAACTTCTTTGGGTGAGGGGTGCCTTCAAGTCTCCGTTGACTCCTGGTGAGTGCCTGGACAAATCGCTGCAGGTTTTTTGGCAATATTTTCAGAAATGCTTAGCCATTGCCTCTTTCCCAGGGCCGAGAGAGAGCGACTGGCCCAAAGTTACCCAACTGCCTTTGTGTCCAAGGCAGGACTAGAACTCACCGTCTCCCAGTTTCCAGCCTGGTGCCTTCACCACGACACCAAACTGGCCCTCAAAGAGGAACTATAAGTGGGTTAACGTGGTACCAAGGATGTAGGATATAGTAGGTAAATATGTCCTTTAGCTCCAATACTTTCCAACCTGCATCTTGATGATATAAATGGTTCCCAAGGACAGAAGCATTCAGAGAATCCAGACGACAATCAAACAGAGACAATGAGGAGATTCACGGGGCTAGAAATTAAGTCCTACAAAGAAAATTGAAAGAGCTGGGTATGTCTAGCACTGAAAAGCAAAGACTGAGGAATCACAGGATAAAGCTTTCCAAGTATCCGAAAGGATGTCAAGACCTGTTTTCCCTCATTCCAGAATGCAAGACTCAAAATAACGATTCAGCTTCCAATTAAGGGGGAAAAAAGACCTGAAACAGGAAGAGCAGTTCAGTGGTGGACTCGGTGATCCAGGGGTGATGGATGTCCCTTGATCAAATGTGCTCAAGTGTCAGGCTGAGGCCTGAATCAGGATTACTGCCTTACTAGAAATGGAAGGCTTTGCTTGCCAATGGTTTAACATATGCACAGTTGCTGGAAAGATTTAAACTAGATAAAAAAAGAAAAAGTATGAATTTACCACTGAGAAAACTGAGTTGGAATATGTTTTGCGTACGAATGATTAATGTCTTATTGCTAACATGTATAAATTTTTGTTAAAGATGAATTTGGAGGATGAATATGTTAAAGATTATATGGTTAAATGGGCAAACAACTTTGGATACAATATAATGTTAGACCAGTGAGAAAATATGTGGAACAAAGGGTTAAAGTTTACTCTTAATTATGTGTTAAAAGAAAATTTTTACAAAATGATGTACTGTTGGTATTTGACACCAGATAAATTGTCAAAGGTGTATAAAGGTATCTCAGATGCCTGTTGGAAATGTAATCAATGTGAAGGTACATTCTAGCACTTACGGTGGGCTTGCAAAAAGGCTAAGAAATATTGGAATATGATATGTACTTTGATTCAAAAGGTTTTGAAAATAGATTTGCAATTGAAACCGGAGACTTTTCTTTTAGGTATGATGGACAAACAACTGGAAAGACAACACCAAAATTTATTTCTTTATATGATAACTGCAGAGAGACTTCTATATGCACAGAAATGGAAGGATATACAAATACCTGAAGAATGGACATTGAAATTAATGGAATTGGCTGAGAGGGCAAAACTTACTGCTTTGCTCAAAGACAGGGCACTGCCCAACTTTGTCTCTAACTGGAAACCACTCCTAGACTTTTTGCTTGATACTCAAAAAAACCCAATTTTAATTTTAACTTTGGGATTTGCTGATTGATGTTACACTTATAGAAATACCTTGCACAAATTATATGTATTACTCAAACAGATTAATTTTTAGGAATCCTTCTGAATATTAGATTAAAAACTATCTTTTACTTATATGTATTACTCAAACAGATTAATTTTTAGGAATCCTTCTGAATATTAGATTAAAAACTATCTTTTACTTATATGTATTACTCAAACAGATTAATTTTTAGGAATCCTTCTGAATATTAGATTAAAAACTATCTTTTACTATGTAAATTTTTAGATTGTAGAGTAAGAGGTGAATTTATTCCTCATCTATACCTGTACCAAGGAAAGTCGGAAGCTACTCTTTTTTTTTCCTTGTGTTTTTCTCCCCCCCCTCCCCTCTTTTTCTTGATTTTTCTGTATTTTAATTTTTTTACAAAAAAAAACCCAAAAGGATTACTGCCTTGAGCAGAGGGGCAGTGTTGAATACAGAAGAATCCGTGAATCTGAGGACATGGGGAACATCTGAATATTGATGGAATCGAGAAATAACAGGGCAATTATTGTGGAAATACACCATTTAGCTAACTAGAATTAGGTTTCTTGAATCAAAAGACTGAGTTTCCATAAAGGGCTGTCAAATCGAACATGAACCACCCAAAACAGCAAATCTAACTGCCCGCCTCAAATACCCAAGTGAAAAACCAAATTTTCATGCCTTCTGAAAGGGAACAGGCTCCGGACAAATCAATTTTGGGGGTGAGGGATATTTCAAAGGGCAGGCACTGCCTCAGAAAAACAAAACAATACATATGGAAAGTAAAATAATGAATAAAATAATACAAAGATGACTTTTTCCTGCCTAGAATTGCGATTAATAATATAACTCAGACTCCAAGAGGTACCCCAAATATTTTCATTTTTGGGGGGGGTTAATATTTCATTGAGGAATAAAAAAAATCTCATATGATCTCACTAAAATTTAATAATATTTTAACAGTCTCAATGAAGTCTTCTAAAATCTTATCCAAATCTCACAAGATTTTGTTGATTATATTTATATGTAGATAAATGGATACATGGATATATTTACATGGATATATTTCTTTTTAAAATTGGGTGTGGATTCCGTGCATCTGGATCTCAGAATCTGCAAATCCACCAGCTGAAGGGACAGAGAAGCTACAGCACAAACGAGGGAGGATAGGAAAACTGACTCGGCCACCAGATCCATCTCAAAACTTCAACTGAGCTCTAATTTCAACCAGTGTTGATCTGGGGGAAGAGACCTTGCATGCAACATGACAGGATTGCACAAATGGTACAAATTATCTAATTTTCACCAGCAACATTTGTGCAATGACATCATGATACACGTGACCTCATTGTGGCTTCTAACAAACACCTGCACCCTCATCTACACCCCTGAATAGTTTTACATGTAATTAAAGTCCTTTTAGAATGACTGAAATTGAGCTTTGATATTAACAACACGAGGTTTAGTTTCAATTTAATATTCTTGATCCATTTTTTAAAGAAAGTATTTTTAGTTAGCATGTTGGGGTCAAGGTTTTCCGTCATACAGTTTCTAAGAATTCAAGCTGTAGTTTAAGATATCTTGCTACCAGAGATAACATGCACTAGTAATAGCTCAGAGCAATATTGTGCAAAGTTGCTTCCCAAATGGTTTGCGTATCAGTAACCCAGATAGCTGTTGCATTAAACACCCACATCCTCCAGTGTGGACATCAATGCAATTAAAACACATCTCACCCTCCCAGCAACTACAAAGGGCAGTGTGGGTGTGATACGGTTGTGTGTGTGTGTTTGTGTGTGTGTATTCTAATTCTGTAGATCACAACCCTTAAAAATAGGGTCTATCAGACCACCTAATAATGGCCTAAAAATGACCAGGAAGCAACCACTGGAATGGTATGTGAAGCACCAGAATAGTTCAAAACTGGGAAACCAAGGTTACATCTTATGACCGTACACATTTAGTGTACATTCAGCATACATATCATGAGATCTGCTGGACTAGAAGTGGGAAGTGATGTTACAATTGCTGGGGAAGACAGCAATAATCACAGGCCTGCAGATGATGCCATTTTGATGGCTGGAAATGAGGAAGACTTAAGAAATCTTTTGCTGAAGGTGCGAGAAGAATGTGCAAAAGCAGGTCTGCTGCTAAATCTATCTGTAAGAGCGTGGTGAGATTATGGCAATGCCAACTCAATGCAAAGAGGCAGAGAAAAAGTCGAAGGAGTGACAGACTAGTTCTTCTAGGATCAGCGATGGTGACTGTAGATCTGAAACGAAGAGATGACTGCTACCGGGAGAAATCGAGACAAAATATTAAAGTGCAGAGACGTTACATGGCAACAAAGGTGCATGGCTATGAAAAAGCCCGTGGCTTTTCCAGTTGTTACAGATGGCTGTGAAAGCTGGAAACAAAAATGCTGAATAAGAAAAGTTAATGGCTTTGAACGGTGGTGCTGAGAATACCTTGGACCACAACAAGAACAAGGACATCTCTTTTTCTGGTGATGACGGCACACAAGTACAGATTTATTTTTACTAAACAAAACTATTTTATTTCCCTAAATGCAGCACTCTTTTATTTGGACTCAAAATCTGATTGATAAAGAACTTGATTTTGAATGAGACAATGCACATTTTCGTCTCCTTAGCTACACACACACATCCATACACAAAATGAAAGGGGAGTTCAGGAGTATAACTCCCTTCTGTGGATTTCTGAAAAGAAATCCTTTTGAATAATTGATCAGCTAGGAAACTTTGTGTGATATCTGATCATGTTTATTTCCTTAAAGGATACTTTAAGATATGAAGGTATTAAATAGGACACGAGACTAATTGTAATGGAAATATTAGAGTTGCTAAGGTA